ATGGCAGAGCCACAAGGCAGCCGAGATTCAGTCCTACACAGACAGGAATGATATGAAGAACTTCTATGATGCTTTGAGGACAATCTACAGGCCACTATCATCAGCAACATCTCCAATACTGAGTGCTGATGGCACCACACTGCTCATTGACAAAGGAAAGATATTGCAAAGATGGGCAGAATGATCTCAATCAACAATCAGATATTAATGAGGCAATTCATCGACTGCCCCAGATAGACATTAACATATCTCTTGCTGATCCTCCACTGCTGACTGAGACTGTGAAAGCAATTAACCTGCAGTCAAATGGCAAAGCACCTGGAACAGATGCTATATCTGCAGAGGTCTACAAGGCCAGAGGCTTGCACATGGCTCTGAAACTAACTATACTCTTCCAGTCAATGTGGACTCAAGGAACTATACCTCAGGAGTATAAGGATGCTCCATCATTCACTTGTACAAGCAGAAAGGCAATAGACAGTCTTGCAACAACCATCGGGGCATCTTCTTGCTATCAACAGCCAGCAAAATTCTTGCCAGAATTCTGCTGAATTGCCTTGTGCAACTCATTGAACAAGGGCTCTTGCCTGAGAGTTAGTGTGGCTTCAGGAAAGGAGGCAGGACCACAGACACTGTGCCCATACCTCATCAACTTCAGGAGAAATGGCAGGAACAGAAATCCAACCTGTACATGACTTTCATTGACCTGACAAAAGCATTTCATACAATCAGTCGGGAGGGCCTTTGGAAGATCATGGCAAAATTCGGTTGTCCAGAGAAATTCATTGCAATGGTTCGGAAACTCCATAATGGCATGCTCGCTCACACTGTGGATGACAGAGTCATCAGAACCATCCCCAGTCACCAGCAGAATCAAGCAGGGCTGTGTGCTGGCCCCAACCCTCTTCAGTATGATGCTCTCTGCCATGCACAGATGCCTTTCATGACTGTGACACTAGGATTGACATCAGATACCAGACTGATGGCAAGCTCTTCAATTTGAGGAGACTACAGGTGAAGATGAAGTTACAGGAAGTGACTGATTGTGATCTTCTGTCTGCTGATGACTGTTCCCTGAATATAAATCTGAGTCTGACATGCAGCAAAGTATGAACCATTTCTCTTCAGCTTGTGACAACTTTGGTCTCACAATCAACAATAAGAAGACCAAAGCAATGAACCAGCCTGCAACCAGAAAGCCTTATGTAGAGCCTGCCCATCACAGTGAATAGCCAAACCCTCCAGGCAGTTGACCTATCTTGGCAGTACACTGACATGTGCAGTTCACATTGAAGATGAAACCAATGCCAGAATTGCCAAGGCAAGTGCTTAGGGTAACCACCCATCCCTAATTGGGTGGGACAGTCCCAGAATGGGAACCTCAAGTCCTGGTCCTAGACTGCATAACTCCGGGACAGCCTTTGTCCTGGATTTGCACCACTGTGCAGAGATCCATGGGAAATGGCAGGTTTCCCCTTGCAAGCTGGCAGCATTCCACCCTACAAGGGGCTGCCGGGAGCAGGACACAGGAGGTGCCATGTCCATATGTGTGCCTGCACACATGCATGTGGCCTAGAATACAGCCAGAAAGCGTGGAGAATGGGGACAGAGAAGAGAACAGGGCATGCTGAAACTTAAAGATGGAAGCAATCTTAAGTGTTGCAAACATACTTTACTAAAATAAACTGGAAGGGAGTTAGTGATGGGGTGGGGGAGATAGAGAAAAGGTGCAGTAGAAGTGGGGCAACTTGAATCCAGTTAAAATGAAAAATTGCTTGCCCACAGTGAATCTTCCCTGTAAAATCTCTTGGGAAGATTTTCTGAGTCATGCAACGGCTTCAGGCTTACAATTAGTCTCAAGAAGACCGTAATTATATACCAAGGGTTGGCTATCACTCTGGACAGTAAATCTCTTGGCGTCATCAACAGCTTTTTCTACTTGCGTTCCATGATCAGCAGGAATCTTAACCTTCAGAGTAAACAAACAGAATTGGAGAAGTAGCTAAGAATTTTAGGCTATTACAGAAACATGTATGGAATAGCTACAGACTATCAAGGTGAAGTTGCAAATCTATACGACTTGCATGCTGTCATCCCTGCTTTATGGTTCAGAAACATGGACTATATATATGCTGGGCACAACAGGAGACTGAACAGCTTCCACATGAGATGTCTGTGCAAGAATCCTGAAAATGAAGTAGGAAGACAAAATGCCAAACACAGAGGTGCTAGAGCACACAGGACTGATATACTCAGAAACCACTGTCAAGAAAAGAAGTTTGCAATGGCTTGGCTATGCCAGGAGAATGGAAGGAGACCATATCCCCAAGAATATTTTGTACAGTGAAATTCAATACAGCTCTAAAAAGCAGGGTAGCCCTTTAGGGCAGCATCATGACATGCAACAATGATATGACGTTATTCAACATCAATGTAAAAAGCTGTTCAACCTAAGTGTTGTTGTTCATCCTTTGAATTTGAAGATGACCATGACACCAACGGTTGGCTTGGTTTCTGTTAGCATGTGAGTGGCTGATAAGACCAATTTGTGCTTTGAACTGTCTGTGGCACATTGAGCAAGAGATGCCACTTTAGGTTACTTGATTAACAGACTTGTTGCTGTTGCCAGATTTATGCTGTTTGCACTTCTGCTCTGCCTCAGCAGCTCTTCTCCAGTCATAGATTGTAGCTCCAGTATGGATGAGGCTTCACTAACCATCATGAGTGAGATCATGAGTAAGATCTTCTCAAGGCTTTGGGTCAATGGAGAAACATTTCAAGGATGACTTGAGGGAGTCCTTGAACCCTCTTTTAGCTCACTGCAGAAGATCTTTGGCAGTTGCTCATCTGACATCCAGGTGAAATGGCCTACCCATCTCATGTGTGATTTCATCAGCAGAGTGTGGATGCTTGGAATGCCTGCCTGTGAGAGAACCTCAGTGTCTTGCCATCTTATCATCAGTTTCCTCAGATAGCCCATGTGAAACTGGTTCAGCTTCATAGCATGGCTAGGGTGACCTTTCAAAACAGAAAGGTGGGACACATGCCTGACTCCAGCACCCCTCCCTCCCCCCGCTGGCAACATGGCTGGAACAGAGCCGAGTGGAGTGAGACTGGATGTGGGCTGCCCGCTGCAAGCTTGGGGCTCCCTGCCCTGCTGCTTTTCCCTGGCGAGCCCTGAACTGGTCACATGCCCCCTGCCCACCCAGCAGCAGTGGGGGGAACAACACTGTGCTGCCACCACCCTTTCTGCTGCTGGGCAGGCAGGGGGCACAACTCCCATGGGGCTCCTAGGGGAAAGGCAGCAGAGTGGGAAGCCCCAAGCCTGCAGCCCACACCTGCATCTGCCCCTGCCCTGTGCACAAATCTGGGGAGGGCACATGCCCTTCGCCCCCTGGACAAGCCACCCATGGCCCTGTCCTGCTCCATGCCCTGAGCCCATGCACTGCCCTGGCTGAGCAGCTCCCCCTGCCCCACTCTCTCCCTCACCATGGGAGCCTCAATCTGTCCCCTCTCCCATCTCCCCCTATGCCCCTTCCCCCCCACACAGATGTATCTGCAGGAAGATGCTCTCCATGCTTTCCCAACTAATTGCATGTGTGCAGGCACACACATACACATGGTACCTTCTGAGTTTCATTCCCAGCAGCCCCTTGTAGGCTGGAATGCTGCCAGCCTGCAAGGGGAGATGCGCCATTTCCCATGGATCCCTGCACAACACTGTGAATCGGGGACAAATGCTGTCCCTGAGTCATACAGCCCGGGACCAGGACTTGAGGTTCCCATTCCAGGACTGTTCTGCCCTCTATGAAATCTATGAAATCTCTTTGGCACAGGTGATCACCCTAAACATGGCATCTGTACGCCATCCAGGTTTTGCATGTATATATCAAGACTAGCAACACAATGGACTTGTAGACTTTCAGTTTTGTTTGTTGACTGATGCCTCTGTGCTCCCACACATTTGCACACAGTCCGCATTTGCCTTGGTAATTCTGGCATTGGTTTCATCATCAGCCTCCCTACTGCTGCATGAGAGGCTGCAGATCCAGCTGTCCAGCACATATGAGACACTGCAAGAAAGAGGTTGGAACAATATACTGCTTTGTATTTATTAACAAATAGCACAGAACAGCTGTTTTCACTTTCCTTTGGAGAAAAACTCAGACAATCAGAGGCCAGATCTCAGCCCTTGTGTTCTACAACAGCCAAATCAAACCATTCAATATTCTCTTCTTTCTTGGAAACACAGGGGCATTTGTAAAGTCCTTTAAAACACTGTGTTTCAGAAGTTATGTTCCTTTGATTAGAGCCCCTAGGGCTGCTGTTTTTCTCATGGCAAATGTGAAGAAAAATGTTAAGACAACAAGGGCAGGGAATATGCAGTCCAACCTTAGTGTTAGCATGCATACTCTTTTGTTTTCTTAACATCATACCTACAAGAATACACCTCTCCTCATTCTAAACTGGATTAGTCTAAGCCAACATCTGACATGATATGACAGACTTTTGCTGTAATATTTCTATGCAAACTATGTTTATATTACAATACATTTGTGTCCCTCAGTTTTCCCCCTGGCTATCTACATATGAGGGAAAGAATGGGAAACCAAATACTAGTTCCTTTGAGTCAGGGTCAGGGAAAACCAGAGTGAGTATGAGAGACCAAAGGGTCAGGATTTCATATGTACATACTTTCCACAATTATATTTAAAACAGAACATCTATTAGGAAAGCCTCGGTACAATAATAGGGAAGGAAAGAAAGTGGTATATTTGTAATGACCACAATAAATATCTGTATGCCAGATTGTATTAGGCTGTTTGATTGTTCACCATTATGTCCAAAAACATCATTTCCTTATTTGAGGCATACCATAGATTTCCGAGTTTGATTTTTCAAGTCACATCCATTATTCTGTAATGTACCACCTTTCAGCATCAGATGACAGACAGCTTTGGACTCTCAGATGCGGCAAAAGCACTTACCTATTATTTCCCTTTAAGGTCTTGCAAGCCATATTGTTGACCTCCAATACAAAGCAAATTCACTTGTTTGCCTCTGGACAGAAAGAAGATATCTGAGCATACCTGAGCAAGTTTCTTGTGTAAACTGATTGCACTCCATTTCATATAGCTGAGCATGGTGCCAGGACCGGGCTGCTCCACCCTGCCACTTCAGGCTGGGCTGGGCCAGTCCCCACTTCCCCCTGGGGCCAGGGCCATTTCACCTCTCCCCTTCACTGCTTCAAGCTGGGGCCAGTCCCTCCACCCCACCTCGCTTTGGGCCGGACCGTGCCGTACCTACTCTTTCCCTCCCCCTCCTCATAGATTCATAGGGGCTGGAAGGGGCCTTGCAGATCATCAGAGTGCGAAGAAAGCATTATGGACAGACAGACTAAGGCTTTTATCATATTAGAACTAGCACACTGCCCAGTAAGAATGACCAGGGAGGTAGGCAGAGACAGAGGCCTGTGTCCCTGCCCCCCACATTGGGCTGGGGCTAGGGCAAAGCTGCTCCCTGCCTCCCCACCGCCACTTTGGCACTGCTGGCCTCACCCCTCCACTCCATCCCTCCATCATGGTGGAGCTCAGGCCCCGCAGTCCCCACTGTCATGATAGTGCTCCATCATGTGTCACTGTCTGTCCAGAGCACTTTGATTAGCTGCTGAGGCAACCAACCAGCGTGCGAATGAAGCGTTACAGACAGACAAACTAAGGCTTTTATAATATTAGAATTATACTGCATCGTTGTATTCATTTGCAATCCAAGACTGTTTCCTCCTATGCATCCAGAACAATCAAAGTAGAACTGAATGTGCAAACTCAGCTTTGGCATTTGGTTATTTTTGAGGGGTTAAATGAACAATGGTAAGTGTTCTCTTCTTTTTGGAAATTAATTTATTTCCGTACAACACTACAACAAGTAGAAGTAACTTCAGGACAAGGGGTTTTCACACAGAAAACAAGAAAATTCTAACACCCAAAGCAAGACATAAAATGTTCTCCCTGATCCAGTATTTCCCAACCTGAAAAAATGAGAATTGTCTCATGAAAGTGAAACCTATCTTATTTCTCAGTAGTCACTATGTGTTAAAAATATCCTAACCTTAATGTATGTCTTTCACATACCTACTAATCCTTTGCACATAATACACCACCAGTCTTCATCCTCTGTAATAGTGAGGGCCAACCTTTTTTGGCAAGTGTGCCACAAAATAAACCTTCACCTCTCTAAGTGCCACTCCAGTCCCCTTCCCAACTGATCTGTTGTTCTGCTTTTTGTTCCCTGCTCCCTCCCCAGTCTGCTACATGCCACACAGAGACTGCCTGTGCCACAGGTTGACTACCCCCACTTTGTCATGTGCTGAATAAATGATGAAATAGTTTAACAGAGTGACTTTTAGAGCATCATCTGAGGTCCTGAGTCAGCACCTACTCAAACAAAAGGGGCAGTTCATAATACCACTCCAGTCACAATTTCAAGGTTATCCTTGTTCCCAAAATAGCTAGACTTTTATTTAATTAAAGCCAGGATTCTGTAGAACAAAAACTAGTTTCTTCCTCATGCCAATCTTGTTTTTCAGGATGCCTACTAGGTGACTGTGGCATCGATGCCTACACAGTCAGATGGATTGCAGATTGGCTGAGGGGTCGCACTCAGAGGGTGGTGGTGGATGGGTCATATTCGACCTGGGGCGAGGTGGGTAGTGGAGTCCCCCAGGGCTCAGTCCTGGGGCCTGCGCTGTTCAATTTCTTCATCAGC